CCCGGAAACAGTCTAGAAAATGACTCCAAGTGAATTTGATGGTCCAGCTTATCCACAACAAGTTTATATGGCAAACTAGAAAACGAAATAAACAACAAGTTTATCCATACCAATTCCCTCAGAATGATCTATGCATTTATTAACTAAATAAAACAGAGCCATACCTCCCGGGACTCATGTTGAAATCTCGTGCGATTATCATCGAAATGCCTATGTATCTCTCGGCTATATTTTCTATTTTCTTCAGCAAGGTATCTGTCAAATCTGGTTGCACGGCCAAAGCAGTATTAGTTAAATGAGCAACCAACAATGATCCACACATATTAGTTAAGGCTTCCTAGGAGAAACTCACCACACATAGTAGTTGCTGCGGTGGATTACCAAATTTCAGTTGTAGACCAACTATCAGGGCAACATTATCCTAGATATGATGAGATTGATATGCCAACAATAAACTCTCCAATATAGCAGCTGTGAATTCAAAATGTAAATGGCTTTTGGTTAATTGGGTTAACAGCATCTACCAAAGCTTGAGCAGCCGTGTTGAAGTAAGCCAAAAAAAAAGGTGGAATTGGGTTAGGTAACATATGGAAAATGATATATACTTACATTCGATTCCAAAAACAACAGAGAATCTATCCCGCTTGAAGAATGTTGCGCAGCCATCAGTCGTATCAATGGTACTTGCATTTCCACTCAAAACCCTCATAGTGTAAAAACCATCATATCCAAGCTTGTCTAGTTCAGGTTTGAAGAAATCTTTGAAATGGTTGTTTTGTACCAGCCAAAGAGTCAAAGAGAGGACTTAAGTGATCAAGTAAACTCTATACAAAAGTGGATGTTTAAAAGAAATAATATGTAGAGAGTCTAGAGACTACATACATCTGCACCATAACTGACAATCTCTTGTAGCAAGTTCAGTCTACGGTATGCCCAAGAACGAGCCCAAGGAGGACAGTAACTGTACACAGGGCTATTGGCAGAGGTATCGGACAAGATACTATAAGTAAGGACAGTGAATGATCCTGATTGCTCTGTATCAACTCCACCAATAGAGACCAATTCACGGTTAAATGGTGCAGGGTATGGAACAAGACGACAAGTCGAGATTGTACGGACTGGTCCCGGAATCGTTCCAGCGAATACCGATATCTCTAGCTAGCACCAAAACGCAGCCTATATCTTGGTTTGTTGKAATGTAATTCATACCATTCCCAACCTCATCTTTTACGGTACCTTCATATACGTTGATCATCTGTTTTTTCCCCGGAACTATGTTGTTCCCAGATATCACATTCTAGAATAGTGGTACTTGCTCGAAACAAGAGATAGAAAGTTGGCGGGTTCTGACTCATGCACATCACAGAGCACACGGTTTTGATTTGTCCTTATGCGAGACCTGCAGATGCATGTAATATAAACCCCAGAGAATGAAATCAAAAATTGCAGAAACAATCTGATTCTTCGTCAACAAGATCCATCGATAAACCAAAAACTGGTTCTTTTGTGGAGAAAGAAACGAAACGAAACAAGATTCCATATTTTTGCTAACAAGAGAACTTGGAATTTGGGTTCAGTGTACTTACCATTTGTAACCCAGTGATATGGCATTAACCGGCACCGGAGCCAAGTCCGGTAAATCGGCGATCGTTGATCCATCGGGGAAACGGAGATTGAAGTTGGGAGTTAGTTCAATGCCTACAATCGGAACCTCCGGCGATATACGCAGCTGCGTCACCCTCGGAATCGCAATTGCTCTGCTTTGTTTCTTCACACCTGTAACTCAAGAATCGAAGAATCGCCGTAAGAAATCAAGAGACGACGCAATGTGTAACAACGGAAGATTAAAAAAGATCAATCTTCTTCATAAACGATCTTCGTCTTAATCGATTC